ACACACACACACACACACACACACACACACACACACACACACACACACACACACCAGCAGTACGTCCTGCACAGCGAGTTGTAAGGATTTTTTTGCGAAATTTATGGATTTTTAGGGCTCTTTATACAGGTAAACGTCCAAAGAGGTTGACATGGAACCGGACCGAACTTCAGTCAAACAAGACCCAACATTTTATTCCTTATTTGAACTAGTGATACAGTATTGTGAGCAGCTGCAGCTGTATGCTTTTATTTTTTTCTGTCAGGCTGTCAGAGCGCTCTACCTCCTCTGTCCCATACTATGGTCACTCTCCATGTAGCATCAATTATGCTAATGCTAGCTGCCTGTCACTTTCTCTTGTCCTGGCCACACCTCCGCTCTCTAACCCCCACTTCCCCACCCACACCCCCTCTCCTACCCACTTTGATACATTTTTCACATTTCGCCTTGGGGCAGAGTTATCTTTTCACAGGGGAGTAAGATACACTTTAAAGAAGACTTGACTGCCAGCTTTTGCAAGGTAGTCAGCTCTCTCATTACCATAAATGCCAGCATGTCCTGGTACCCATTTAAAAGTAACGTTGTTAACTCTCCCAAGTTAGATGACTGCTTCAGCACGTTCCCAAGCCAATAGTGACGTAAAATGTGGCCCTTGGAGAGCTCTAATAGCAGCTTGGCTATCTGTTAAGATGAATATTTCGTTCTGTGTACACCAGGGGTGTCAAACTCCAGTCCTCGAGGGCCGCTATCCTGCATGTTTTAGAGGTTTTCCAGCTCCAACACACCTGATTCAGTGATTGAATTAATTCTTCAAATTGGGCAGAAGCCTGTTAATCACCCAGCGATCAAAATCAGGTGTGTTGGAGCAAGAAAACCTCTAAAACATGCAGGATAGTCAGTACACCCAAAATTGTCATCAAAAAAGTGAATTCAACATCAAAACATAAAAAGCAAACCTTTAGGAATTAAAGTTCGAAGGAATACGGTTCATTTAACTGGCCTTATTTCGGTAGTTTTCTTTAACAGTTTCTGATCCAACAAAACGTCTCATTCATCATCCTCCAGCGCACTGAAACCATAGAAGTCCTCCTGTTCAGTGTTGGAGTTAAACAAGCTCAGAAAAGCTGCGTCACATAGCGGTATCTGTTCAGTGTTGCTTTCTGTGTCGCTGTCCTCCCGGGGTAATGCTGGCTCTGAAGTTGTGGTGCCCTCTTCACGTAGCAGTCCAGCCTTTTGGAACCCATTGGTGATGGTGGACTCATTCACTGTTCTCACGCTGTTAGGATCCAATGGCAGGCATCAGGAAATGACGCATTAGGCCAGTTTTTGTGAATGTTTTATGACTTGCAAATCATTTTCAACCTATAATCAATTGAACACACTGCAAAGACCACATACCTAATGTTCGAACTGGTAAACTTTGTTATTTTTTGCAAATATTAGCTCATTTGGAATTTGATGCCTGCAACATGTTTCAAAAAAGCTGGCACAAGTGACAAAGAAGACAGAGAAATTTGAGGAATGCTCATCAAACACTTTTTTGGAATATCCCACAGGTGAACATGCTAATTGGGAACAGGTGGGTGCCATGACTGGGTATAAAAGCAGCTTCCTTGACATGCTCAGTCATTCACTTAGAAGGATGGGGCGAGGGTCACCACATTGTGAACAAATGCGTGGGCAAATTGTCGAACAGTTCAAGAACAACTTTTCTCAACGAGCTATTGCAAGGAATTTAGGAATTTCACCATCTACGGTCCGTAATATCATCAAAAGGTTCAGAGAATCTGGAGAAATCASTACACGTAAGGGGCAAGGCCGAAAACCAACATTGAATGCCCGTGACCTTCGATCCCTCAGGCGGTACTGCATCAAAAACCGACATCAGTGTGTAAAGGATATCACCACATGGGCTCAGGAATACTTCAGAAAACCACTGTCAGTAACTACAGTTCGTCGCTACATCTGTAAGTGCAAGTTAAAGCTCTACTATGCAAAGCAAAAGCCATTTATCAACAAGATCCAGAAACGCCGCCGGCTTTGCTGGGCCCGAGCTCATCTAAGATGGACTGATGCAAAGTGGAAAAGTGTTCTGTGGTCTGATGAGTCCACATTTCAAATTGTCTTTGGAAACTGTGGACGTCGTGTCTTCCGGACCAAAGAGGAAAAGAACCATCCGGACTGTTATAGGCGCAAAGTTCAAAAGCCAGCATCTGTGATGGTATGGGGCTGCATTAGTGCACAAGGCATGGGTAACTTACACATCTGTGAAGGCACCATTAATGCTGAAAGGTACACACAGGTTTTGGAGCAACATATGCTGCCATCCAAGCSACGTCTTTTTCATGGACGCCCCTGCTTATTTCAGCAAGACAATGCCAAGCCACATTCTGCACGTGTTACAACAGCGTGGCTTCGTAGCAAAAGAGTGCGGGTCCTCCCCTGGCCTGCCTGCAGTCCAGACCTGTCCCCCATTGAAAATGTKTGGCGCATTATGAAACGTAAAATACSACAACGGAGACCCCGGACTGTTGAACAACTTAAGCTGTACATCAAGCAAGAATGGGGAGGAATTCCACCTGAAAAGCTTCAAAAATTGGTCTCCTCAGTTCCCAAACGTTTACTGAGTGTTGTTAAAAGGAAAGGTGATGTAACACAGTGGTAAAAATGTCCCTGTGCCACCTTTTTTGCAATGTGTTGCTGCCATTAAATTCTAAGTTAATGGCTATTTGCAAAACAAAATAAAGTTTCTCCGTTCGAACATTTAATATATTGTCTTTGCATTCTATTCAGCTGAATATGGGTTGAAAAAGATTTGCAAGTCATTGTATTTTGTTTTTATTTACGATTTACACAACGTGCCAACTTTTCTGGTTTTGGGGTTTGTATTTGGTTGAGAAAGACAGACACACTGGAGGCACTATGTTTCTCAGCTGGTCTGGGAATGCCTTGGGAATCCCAACATAAATAATGGATAAACCAGAGTCTTCCAGAAGACCCCAAGCAGCTGTAACCTTTGGCCGGCTGGGTGACAGTGCAGAGTGCATTGTGCTATAAGGCAGGCTGGTTTGGTTTATACTTCTTTGTTGTTGCACGTGAGTGACAAAAAGTTGCGCAACCTCCGTCTGCACTCCCGCTGTGATCCCCCGGTGACAGCTGTCCTGTACATTGCCCCCAGTCAGCACTTCGAGACGTGGAGATTGCGGCTCGGAGCGTGATTGTGGGAGGGCAGAGGGAGGGATTACTATAATGTATCCCCCATGTCTTTTCCCAGTATAAGCACTCGATGCTGTCAGTGACACACACKCAGTTACGTCATCACTGGGCCGTAGCCGCACGTCTTGCATGAAGTATAAACAAAGCTTCGCTACTCTCAGAGGCTGTGTTCCCTAGGAGGACCTGGCTAGCTAGATTTTCATTTGCCAAGCTTCCAATACAGACAGTTTCTCCTCTAAAGCTACCATAAGACTACATTTATGAAATGCACCATCAGTATTAGGGGTCATTATTATTATTAGCTCTATTGTTCATAGAGGAATAGAGAACAATAGAGCTAATCAAGGCACTAATGACCTATTGTTTGGCTGATGGTCCTCTTTTGCCTGTGACCAACCTGTTTGTCCATGTGGAGGCAGTGCTTATAAGGAGTTCACCTGAAACTCCTCAGACTGAAGAAGTTTCTTGGAGGAGAGACGAAACAGTTCATTAAAGAAAAACCCATCCAGAAGACATACTTGTGTTTTTTTTCCATGTTAAAGTCCTGATATTTTTTAAATAAATGATACAGAATGTTTTAACTTTGGATAATGAAAGTGTGACATTCAAATAGATTAGCTTATGGTCAGAGATTGGTAGAGAACATGTCCTTTGGAAGGGGTGGGAAAATTAATGAACTGTCCAAACAAGATAAGAAGTCCTTGGTTACTGGGTTATTAGAGTTGTATGTATGCATGTTAAAATCACCAAGCAGATTTATGTTGGGGAGAGTACTGAGATGTTAGGAGGGGGGGGTAGTGAACTCACAGATAAATTCAGTATTTGGTTTCAGTAGACGATAACTAGTGACTATTGTGGTGGGAGATGGACAGTTGAGCTGTATGGTTATCGACCCGAATGACTGAAATGTCGGCCATGACTTGTGTCACTGGATTGGCAGCTGAAGATGTAACTGGTGATACTCTGTAGAGATGAAGGAGAGCAAGAAAGGAGGGGTTGTGTGGGTGGTAGTTTTGCACTGAGAACTGAAGATTGGCTGCTAAACTTCTGCTACCTGTTCTGTTGTGAAAGCCATCAGATTTTTAAAAGGATTTTAAGCCCCAGAAAAGATTAAAATTATCAACAAAGCACATGTTGCGTCCTCTGCATGCTGACTGGAGCCATGTGTGGAGGTTCAGGATCCTACTGAAGACCTGATCCACAGCCATGAGGAGAAATGGGTCCGCTGATGAGGAAGGATTTGAGGAATTCCAGAAGTTTGCGTGCGTGTGATGGCATTTGGAAGCAAATATTTTGTTTAACTGAATCTCCAAGTATGAGTGTTGTCGGATGGAAAAGGGAGCGAGGAGATGATGATAATGACCTAACTGGGCTGGATGGAGGGGGAAAATCTGTCCAACTTGACATGTATGATAATATTTAATGCAATTTTTTTCACTTACACTGGAGGTGGGTTTGAGTTTATTCATCATCCAAAACATTGATTGTTCTGTCAGCACATTGAAATCTCACTTCAAGCTTAGATCAAAACCTGACAGCCCTGTTTTTGATAGTAAAATGTCTGTTTTAAAAGTGAAGGTTGCAGACTTAGTAGGAAATGGCAAAGTTACTAATTATTTTTGCTTCTTTTCTCTAGTCTGCAGCATTGGGTGGAGCAGCTCATTTGGTTAATTTCTGCAGCACAGACACCATACCTGGGGTGCTCATGGCTCAACGGTACTACAGCTGTCCAATGGCTGGCTTCTCCATTCCAGCAGCTGAGCACAGGTATTAATAAAAAATGCTTCAGGTCTGACAGAAAATAAACTAAAATAAAACAACAAATAACTAATTTCAGAAGGAAAACATTTGATCTGCAAACAAAATAGTAGTATAGTTGTGAAAATTATTGAGCTTTTATTTGTTGGACTAGTTAGGTTTTAGTTCTGCTCAGGCTATTAATCCATGCAGAAAGATGTGTTTTTATGCAGAGTTGTAAATTAACTAAGTGCAAAACTGTGCCTCCTAGATAGAGTGAATTTAGTTGTGGTTGAATGAAAAGTATAAATATATAAAATTCTGATACCGTATTAGTTTGTACACAAATAAATCATGTCACACTCCAGCAGGAAATAATCATTAAAATAAAAGGACTGTACTTAAGAAGGATTTGTATTTCATGAATTATATTATTGCATTTGGCCGCACCCCTCGAATACATTTTTATTTTGGGGAAAATGTTTGGGCAGCCTGTATATATGTATATAAACTGGAACAGCTGGACTAGTGCATCATAAATTTAACATAAATTAATTATTTTAAAACAACAGTCATTTCTGCATTGTTTGTGGAGGTCACCTCCTAATAAATGTCATTACAGAAAATCTAACTGCTCATTTTAAATCAATACTTTTACTTTTAATACTTAAGTACAAAAAATATCATATACTTAAAGACCTTTAATCAAGTAATATTCCTAAAGGAGACTTTAACTTTTACCAAAGTAATTTTTGGTAAAATACTTGTACTTTTACTCAAGTATCACTTTGTGGATCACTGCTTTTATGTTTCTTACAGGATTTTATCAGTCCCTCTCAGTAAAGCTTCTACAAAAACAAAGAAGAAAATCCTTTTTCTACTCTTAACGACATCCGCAGCACTAAATTGTCACTCAGAAACTCATTAATCAACAAAAACAGAGCTTTAAAAAGCCCCGTCCACTCAAAAACATGTGCCAGACTCAAATRCAGAAATCAGGCAGAGCAAATTGCAATTTTGCAAAATGTCACAAAAAGCACAAAGTCACAGTCAGATTAAAAGCCTCAATGACTAAATGAAAACATTGTCAGAATAAAAGCATTGGCAGCAGGAAAAAAGCACTTCACAAGATCAATAAATTGCATATCTTAACAAATATTTTGTTTGCAAATTAAATTTGTACTTCTAAAATATTTTTTTAATGTTGTGGTTCATTCACTGTGACTTCTTTTATTTGGCTTTATTGATGAAAATACCATACTATTATGTAATCTCTATGGTGCCTTTTCAGGTTAGTTTGTTTTTAAAATAAATGTTTAGTTAAAAAATCTGAGGGAAAGTTGACACAGTTGATGGTTATCTCTTCAAATATTAAAGGATTTTTCTTTTCTCCTGGATCGCCATGAGTCTGTTCACTGTGTAAAGGTTTGACCTTACACTTCTTMTAACAAAGTTATAAGGAAATTATTTAGCAAGGATCTTTTACTTTCAGTAAGTATCTCAAAATGAATGGACAAAACACAATAAGTGATTTTCTCAGTGAATTTTGAGTTGATCTATCAATAAGTGCGATCATTTATTTACATAATCAAACAAAATCACTACTGTACACTTATGGTGACAACTTAATTTCCTATAAAAAGTTTTAAGAATCAATAACAATCTAGATCACATCCAAACTTAATTGTTTATCAATTCAGCACCTAAAATAGAACATCAAACATCAAGCTTAGATCTTAAATACCAGACATCTGAAGGCAAATAACTTAGGATTGGCAAGGCAAAGGTTTAAGAGAAAAGGAGGAAGTAAGATGTTRGCCACTCCTAATTTTTATCTTAAATGTGGAAAACCAGGGGACCAGGCGTCTCTCGCTTGCTGTCAGCAGCAGGAACACTAGTATCAAGCCAGCTTTTTACCTTGAAGATGGCAGGTAAACCATCATAGTCCAGGCAGCGTGAAGGTCGTGGTGTGGGCAAGGGACCGTTCAGTCCTTACTTGCTCCGACCTTCCGGGCAGGTACTTCTCAGCACCAGTCTGCAGCTCCATGTCAGCCTGCTTTTAAATCCACAGAGTTGTAGTCCTCTGTTTACCTGTAAAACACAAGTCCAAAGCTGCACCATGTTATTCTCACTGTTCAAAGAATATAAAWAAAACTCCATCTGCTGCCTGACACAGACAAGACTTCCTGAAGTTCCTGAGCAGCTGAGGTTGCAGCTCATTTATCTGGTTTTAAGTGAGAAATAAGGAGTTTGCCCAGTTCTAACTGTCTACGTTTTTCCAGGGTACATCCCGGTTTCATCTGGGTTAAAGTTCCTACTCGAACAGCCTGGCCAAAGGACTCTACACCCAGATACCCTGGATTCACAACAGCACTCTTTTCGGGATTTTAGTTGTTTACTGACTGGGATGATTTTTAGGAGTCTGGAAGTAAACTCCAGGGATATTATTTTAATATTTACTTACACACTAGGACAACCGGTCAGTAAAAGATAATAAGAACTCAGAAAATTTCCCATTTATCACTCTTGAGACAGCATGAAAATTGTGAAAAAAATACCAAAAATTTAATGTCCACACTGACTTTCAGAATTTTCTAGTTGTCATATTTTATTAATAAGCGATGTAGCAAGTACAGCAAGAATTAAAAATCAATCACACATCGGGACAGATTAAATGCATTAAACCCTTTAACTTTCCCTAAGCAAGTTGCTGTAATATGGTCAAAAATTATAAAACAGTAAAAAAAAAAACCCATAAAACATAAAATAATTTTAAATCAACTTCGGCAGAGACCAATCTTAAGCCATACCTGCATTGTGAGCTTTTCTGGTCTGAAAGCAAAATGCTGAACTGGATTCTTCTGATCAGAGCAAACAGCAGGTTGGAGCTGGCCTCTTCCTCCAAAGCTCTTACAGCTGCAAAAATACTGTTCACCTCAGCTGCCAGTAATGCAAAAATGCTTTATTTTCTGTTATTAGTTGATGCTAAACCTTCCTCCTTCAGCAGGAATCCAAGGTATCTAGTTGTAATCTGTGTAGTTCAGAAACAAAAACATGTTGACCTGTTCAGATGTTGTCTGATGAGAACTTTTTAAAAACTAGATACCACATAGTGGTAACATAATGACCCCCGCACGCACAAATACACCAGAACTCAGAAGACTTTATTCCTAATAAA